TTGAGATATGGGGGAGCATATGGGGAAAAGACACCCACCGGCCCCCCCAAGCCCTAAGTGTCTAAAGTGGAGTTAAAATAGAGGGGAAGGGAGCCGTGCAGTCCAGCTGCGGGCTGCAGAAGCAGCCGACCCAGGACCTGCACAGCTCCCCTCTCCCTCCAAGGCCCTATGTGGATGAGTGGTGTGACATGGATGTATGTCTAAAATGCAGTTAAGATAATGAGGGGGGGATGAGTGGCTAATCGCCCCCCCTTCCCTCTGTGTGGTGCGGTGTGATGTCTAGATGTGGCGTCTAATGTGTAAGATGGGAGGTGAATAGCTTCTGTCCTTAGAGTGTTGTCAGTGGGTGGGGCCTGCGTGTCACCATTGCGGTGATAATACACATTGTTGTCCCGTGGGTGTCAGATGCACCCGTGTAGGATCTCGACCCGGAAACAGCTGCGTTTGCCTGCCCGCGTGGTGCTCACCTCGTGCTCAGGTCTGTGGAGAGGCTCGCACCCCATTTGGCTCCCCTTCCCCTGCCATCTGGCAGCAGTAGGCCGCTTGCTCCTTGAAGAAAGGCCTCCAGCAGAAGTTCTGCCCCTTCTTAGCAGGGATGGATGTTTCTGACCCACAAATGCCATAACGCTGGAGGGTGCGGTGAGTGGGGGACGTGATCAGCCTGCGCTCGGAGCAGGGCGGCACATTTATGCCAGGCCTCAAGGTCACCTTGTCTCTCGTCCTCCTCCTCCACGTGGCCTGCTTTGCTCACATTTTTAATGAGGTCGAGCTTTCATGCTGATAACTGGGAAGAGTCCAAGCCGACCAGTAGGGGGGGTTATTCTTCTCGCATGTGTGCACTAATCCTCTCATTCAGGTTTCATAAGGAAGCCCCACACCGCGAGTAATAAGCGTGCTGCATCAGGCTTTATCCATGACAGCGTGTGAGATGTTCCTCCAGCTCGGCCTGGATGGTCTTTCAATGAGCCGCACAGCTTCCTGCTGCCTTCCTCGGGGTGTGCATGTGACACCATGTGAGAAATCAGGTAGAAATATGTGTGTTTATCCACTGGGGAGCGTCAGAGAGCTCAAACCAACCCGGAAAGCCTTTTTATGTAGTTTTCTGGGCAAGAACATCTGAAACCTCACATCGTTCGCTCTGAAATTTGGCAGAGGTGACAAGGTGAGCGTGGTTCCTTCCTGGTTCCTTCCTCTTCCAAAGACAGGGGACATGGAGTGAATGCCAGCTGTGGTATATCAGCAGGTTTGTTTCCTGTCCTCAGCCAGACCTGCCGTCCAGCAGAGCGATTCCGGGGCTGTCTGCTGCCCTTAGGCTCACTTTAAGAGGTACGAGCCACTTTTGAATATTTAGTGCTCAACTTATCAGTAATATTACTTTGAGCTCCAAGGCTAGGCACTGGGAAAAAAGCCCCAACCATTATAAAGTTTAGTTTTTAGTTAAATACACAGACGGGACCCATGCAGATTCTGGCGGGACCCCCCCCCCCCCCCCCCAGACTCCAGGGTTGTTTTATCCCGTAACCCTTGTAGATTCCCTCAGACTTCCCAACCTTGACAGAAAACTTCATCAATTCATCGCTTAGCTCAGGGGTTGACATTTACACCTTCTCTGACTTTTGTCGATTTTTCTGAAGTGCTATACCATGTCTAATCAGAAATAAATGCCACTGTGTGTGAGCAAGGGGGGTCGTGGGGGGGTGGAACAAAAACCCTGATGGAGGATTTATATTTGCTGGGGTCTGACTCCGTACATACTGTAGCCTATTGATAAATGTGATAAACGTAAATTTGAGATCACCCTGGTGAAGTGCAGTGTTGCAGTGTAGGCCTGAGAATGGACTAATGAATTTTCTTTCCATCTTTCATGGGAATAACAGATTTAGTTGATTAGCAGGTAATTTGAAGGACTCTGTATGGGGGCAACCTGCGGTGTTGGTACAGCTGACCTCCTCCAGATCGTCTGCTCCGGTCTCTGTGTCAGGAAGCCTGCTGAGGGTTTAGGACACAAATTAATTACGATGCTCCCATGAATGAAAAATCACCGGTGTGCGTGAGGTGAGGCGTTTAACAACAGAGCATCCTGCCGGGCTTTTTGGCTGCGAGACAGCTGCGATGTCAAGTGAGCAGGAGAGATCTGGGGGAAACCTACGGCAAGCCACGTAGAAATTTAAGGATTGTGCCTGTGATTGTCCATAATCCTGGCAGACCGAAGTGTCATTGAGCTGAAAGGGGAAGCAGGGAGGCTTTGCTCACTGTGCGATGCTGCCTTTGCCTGGGCAGGTTCTCCAGCACCACCATGCAGTCCACGAGATCTCCTACATCGCCAAGGATATCACTGACCATCGCGCCTTCGGCTACGTCTGCGGCAAGGAGGGGAACCACCGATTCGTGGCCATCAAGACGGCTCAATCTGTGAGTACTGCTGGGGGGGGTCTTGGCAGAATCTGCCTGTCGGTCTGTGAGTTCTGCCCGGGGGGGTTCTGACAGAATCTGCATGGGTCTGTCTGAATATTTAACTAAAGTCTTCATAATGGTTGGGGCTTTATAAACACCCCAGTGTGCAGTGACTGACGGCGTCGGGGTGTGTGAGGTGTGTGTGTCTTCTCTGGCCTAGCCCCCCTCGCCCCCACGCCAGCTTTCTGTTTGCTGTGCACCTAGTGGGGTGCATCATCGATCCTCACTGGAAATCGATGAGTGTCTGAAAGCAGCCTCGCAGCCCCCCTTGCAAAGACATGCGAGATGCTGGCGCATGTGACGGTGCTTCATTGTGTAGACAGCCGCTTGCATCGGAGCTGTTCTTCCTCATTTTCATATGGATCTTTAAAAAACAGTATAAAGCCCTGTTGCGGTATGGTGGACCTATTTTACTTGCTGGGTGTAGGAACCTTGAGTTGTATTCAGGGTTTGTGAAAGCAGCCGGCCCACAGACTGCGCCCCCTGGGGTCTGTGTGGGGCACGGCGGGGGGCGAGCCTCTGAGGTATTTTGGTGGGGGGTTGGGGCAGCACAGGGGGCAGTTGTTTGTTTTCGTTCACTGTGCTTTAGCTGGTTCGTTTTGCTGCCTGATAACAGCCTGTTGACTTTGAGCCACTGAGGTCTGGCCTCTGCTTTGATCTTCCAGGCGGAGCCGGTGATCCTGGACCTGCGCGACCTCTTTCAGCTCATCTACGAGATTAAACAGCGGGAAGAGCTCGAGAAGAAGGCACAGAAGGACAAGCAGTGCGAGCAGGCCGTCTACCAGGTGAGCCCAGTGTCCTCACTCTCCATGTCCCCTGCTCTGTTGCCCTCCCATGTCCCCACGTCCCTGCTCTCCTGTGTCCCCTGCCGCCACACTGCAATGTCCCCATGCCCCCTTGTCACCTTCCATGTCCCCACGCCCCCTTGTCCCCACACTGCCATGTCCCCACGCCCCCTCGTTCCCACACTGCCATGTCCCCACACTGCCATGTCCCCATGCCCCCTTGTCCCCACACTGCCATGTCCCCACGTCACCTCATCCCCACACTGCCATGTCCCCATGCCCCCTTGTCCCCACACTGCCATGTCCCCACGCCCCCTTGTCCCCACACTGCCATGTCCCCATGCCCCCTTGTCCACACTGCCATGTCCCCACGGCCCCTTGTCCCCACACTGCCATGTACAGTTACCATGTAACTGTAGTTAAAGAAGGTGCATCAGAATATTAAATGTACATCTTATATCTCCTTTAGCTCAATAAGTAGTATTGTGCTAGCGACACAAAGGTTGTGGGTTCAAATCCCAAGCAGCCTACATAAATTGTGTTTTAAATGAATGTTTTACTGTATGAATCTGAAGTGGTAATATTGGCGTAGTGATGTCTGTATGTGCTGATAAAGTAGGGGTAAATTAACAGACGTATTTGGGTTTTTGGTGCTGGGTGGGCAGACCGACAGCATGAGACAGGGGGGGCCCAGATTGGCAGGATCGCTCGTTAGCTCCTCCTGAGAGTAGCAGACAGCGGCTGGCACACGGCAGGTATACTGACCCTGAGAAGGGAGACCCATATGAGGGATGAAGGTGCCAGCTGGGGGCCGCGGGCCAGGGGCTATATAATTACGCACGTCATTAAGGAGATGAGCACCCCCCCCCCTTCCCGGCTCTCCTCCTGAGTGGCAGTGTGGCCGCAGGCTCATAGATCTTGCTGGGCGATACCATTCAGGCAGCATGTACAATTAAATGACAAAATCTGTCAGACGGCGGCTTCCCTGGAGTGAGAGGGGCCACAAGGTTGATGGGGGGGTGGGGGGGCTTGGAGGACAGTAGAGAGCCCCTAAGGAAGATGCGACACCACACTAATAATATCTTCACAACTGGACATCGAGTCTGTCAGTTCACCCCCCATCGTCACCGAGTCTCTGTTCCCAACCCTCCAACCCGCCCCGGCTGACTCGCTCTCTGTTTCTCCCTCTCAATCGCCTCCAAAGACGATTCTGGAGGACGACGTGGAGGACCCCGTTTACCAGGTAGAACCTGAACACTCCACCCTCCCCGGCGTTTTCACCTCCCTGCTTACACTGTGCCTGTTCTCTATACGGTATCTCTCTTAATCTCATATGTGACAATAACACTGCTCCACCTTTCTTTTGCTCCCCTTGAATTAATAATTCATGTTATTTCATCATTCCTGTATTCTTAATCCACCTGGAGGATCATGGCGTGATTGCCCCTTTTTTTACCAGTGCAGTGTCGTGCGATTGTATCTCTCCTCTTGCTTACAAAGGCCAGCCCATGTACCATTTCCCCCGAAAGTGTTACTCTTCAGCACTCACTGAATGCAGACAGCTTTAACCCTATAACCCTCTAATGGCAGACACTTGAATGACGTGTGGTGATGCCGAACATTTCCGGACACTTCCGTGTAGTTTGCCACGAATGTTGCATGCTGAGCGGTCGTACAGTTACCCATCTTTGTGGAGGAATATATCCTTAGCACATGTGTGACACATGTTCTGCGTGTGCTTGCAATCGCTCACAATCACGTTTGTGAATAATGTCAACGATAGCCAGAATGGATTGGTGTAAAGTCCGTAATGGAGACAGCGGACAGTGTGACTCGGTAAGGTGTCTGAACGCCAGCTAATTTTGAAAGATATTTGTGTTTGGACACCAGTGTGGGGATATATTTCTTACGGATGACGTACAGCTTTGTGATCGGTGGGGGGGTGCCCCCTTTTCTGGGAATGTCCCAGATTAATTTTTGATTGAAATGGCATTGTTTCACCTATCACAAAGTAAAGAGAAAAGAGGTAATTAAAAAATGGAAAGATAAAATGTAATTCTGTCAGCCAGACAGACCTTTAATTCTTTTTAGTCATGTGACAGGCAGGTATGTGAGTGACGGTCACATGTGAGGTCCAGGCAGCCATGAGAGTGCAGCCTTCTCGCGAGTCGGATGGGTCTCTCTGCCAACCAACGTGTGACGTTAGCTGCTCAGGCCGTGCTTGGTGTTGATTCTGTTTACCAATCACCTCTCTGCTCTTCCACTGTCTCCCTCTGCCCTCACCCCCTTCTCCTCCGCTGCCGATGTTGTAGTACATTGTGTTTGAGGCTGGACATGAGCTGATCCGTGACCCACAGTCAGAAGAAAGCATTTATCAGGTATTATCAAGCCCCGCCCCTTTACCCATAAAGGGGAGGAGCCAGCTTTTTTTAAGTATATCTTATTTTATTATTTGAGTATGACAGCTGTTATCTAATAAATAGTTAAGCACAATTATCTGTCTCAAATTCTTAAGTTCATTTTAAAATGTATATTCTCAATGTTTTTATATGATCTTGTTTATGAAAGACCACAGTACTACAGCTTTTCAGTCATAGAATCAGGCTGCTTTTTAAGGTATTTTTCTTTCCTGGCTTGTTTTTAGTTGGTTCTGGTGTCTTATTTTTGGGCACCCATGTTATTCTTGAATTTGTTGTGCGCTACATGGAGCATTTTCACGTCCGCATTAGTGACGTAAATCATTAAAGAGAAGAGTAGCCAGCTGCGACCCTGAAGCACGTCCTGCCGTGTGCTGAGGGGTATATAATACACAGAAGTACAGGGCTTCTCTGACGATTCTCATAAAAGCTTTAATGTTCATTCCGGATGTTTAATGTTAAATACTTCAGCATGTATAAGACCCTATAGAGTTGCTATGGTTATTAAAGTATTATCTGACATTTCTGATGACCAGGCAGCGCAGAAATTATAATTGCATATTTGGCAGACAACGTTGAGTTATAAAGCAGTAATGTACGTTCGTTCGGAGTCATCAAGTTATGTGGCTGCGATGGAGGGTCCTGTACTGCCCTGGGCGTCGTGGCACAGCGCGTGTCCCATGTGTGGTGTCCACATGTGAGCCTCCTCGCAGGCTTTTGTGGGCCTGATTTATACCCGGCTGGCTGGTAAGCAGCCGTCCCTCTCCTCCTGCGTGATAAGATGAAAGCTGCCCAGAGATTAATCAGCAGCCGGCCTCTTTGATCTTTAAATAAAATAGACAAAAAAATCAGCTCGAGCAGCAGCATGTGCAAAATCTGCCGAATATCAATCAGGCAGCCAGAGACGGGAACATTATAAATGGTGGCGATGGAATAAACGCGAAAGCCGTAAACAGAGAGGGGAGTTGGCAGGCATCCGTGCCGCCATTGGCTGTGAGCTGGATCTCGCAGATAAAGCCAATTTGTCAGCGGCAGTCGGCTTGATAAAAATGTATCTGGTCTCACTGCGGGCCGTCTCGCGGACGGGCTTTGGGGGGAAATCGCAGCCTGCCCTAACTCTGTTTTCTATAAATTAACCTGAGCTAGTTTTGGCGAAGAGGTAGCTTAACACGCGATAATACTACAGTCGATACGTCAGGACGTCTGTTCTGCCAAAAAACGTAAAAACTCAAAGGAGATTAAGCTTTTTACAAAGCATGCATTAAAATTCGGCTTTTGGGAGCTTCGTTAGAAGTTCGCCACAAAGACGGTCACAAGCAGACAGTGCGGCTCTCTCAATACGTTTGAACTGGAGGAAGCAGATTCTCGCAGTAATGTGGGATGTTCGCTTTGTCTCAAGGTGACTTATTCTCTACTTATTTTTGGCTCGACCGCCTGCCAATCTAGGTGCCTACGAGTCAGCAGAAGGAGGGGGTCTATGATGTTCCCAAACGGCACCCAGTGAGTGTAGATGTTTGTGTTTCTGTTTGGGTCCCAACGGCAAACCTCTCAATCGCTCCAGACCTTGCACTGCTCTGGCTCTTCAGTGCCCCGGGTCACCTGCCGCTCTGCTTAAGCATGTCAGTGTGGGGGTGGGAGGCGTAATCACCGCAGCTCCGGTTCCTCCCTGTCAGACCAGAAGCTTCCTGTCCGTCCTTTGTGGGCGTCCTCCCCAAGCTCCTACATCAGGGGGCGCCATCTCCTCTGAAATATTCCATTAGTCAAACTGGCCTGAGTGAAGTGCTGCTTCAGAAATTTCAGAGTTAACAAAAAATTTGATGATTTTCAGTCTTAATTTCAACTGTGAAAAGATCAAGATGGAAACAGTTCATGGTTCTCAAGAAGAAAATGCAAAACAGAATTTATATTAGGCGAAAAAGTAATTTCATGCAAGTTTTGTTTGTTTCTTTTTTCTGGAATTATCTATGCCCTGAGCATGTAGTAATTGCCCACGGTGCCTCGATCCTCTTAGGAGTGTCTGTAATGTCTTTCTCGATGCTCTCTCTTGCTTGTCAGGAATATTGAGAGGTTTGCTCGAGGTTGTGTTTGCTTGGTATAGCTGCATGCAGTGTAGTGTTCTGGTGAGAAATGCTTGACTCTAAACTACCCATATGGACAATAAATATATTTTCAATAGCTTGGGGGCAACAGTAATATTAGTCTCAGATACAAGGTTTTTCCACAAACATCATTACGGCAGATTTGTAATGGAGTGTGTGGGTTGTTTAGAAGTAAGGGAGTGGAAGAAAATATATTTCCTCCATCTGGGTATGCCTACGAGATGAAAAGCAGTTTGCAAAGGAGATAGTAAGTGTTCCATCCGCAGTGGCTAGACTGTAGTCATGAGACCATGATCATTCTGTGGATGCCTGCTACCTTATCCAGACGTTTGGAAAAGACATATTGATTGCATTAATGCTATGTTTCATGAGTCATACCTTGCGTGACATTCTTCCTGGTCAGTGATGACCTTTGAACCTCACTATCTCCATTGGATTGGCTGCAGCCTCTCAGGTGTTATTGCTGGTCTGTTCATTCAGCTGAAGCTTGTTGAGTGCTGAAAGATCCCCAATCAGCTCAATACCCAGCCCTGGTTCCCTGACCTGGCCTCGAACCGGGGATAGCTTAAGGGGACCTTTCCGTGGCTCTTAAACCGGCAGTGAGTCTCAGAGAACACGGCATATTAGCCGAGAGAGGCACGCGTCAATGGGATCGCACCCTCCTGGTGTCACCGTCTTGTCACCAGGACATTCTTGAATGTTGCTTTGGGTAAAGTGCCCCACTACACTGATAGCCGCCATTCTGTCTTTTTTTTTTATGCCAAAGTCACGTATGCGGTTTCTTTGCCTGACCGGTCCATCTGTATGTCTGACTGTCTGCGTATGTACTGTGTGCGCGTGTGCTTACACGTGACACGTGTGTCCGCACAGCATCTCCCATGACGCAGGCCTGTCACTCATCTCACGTCCTGAAAGAGCTCTGTTCCTCCCCCTTTCCCACAGCTCTTTATCTCAGTGACATCCGTAGCTAATGAAGTGTCTCCCCCCCCCAGGGATAGAGCTCAGTTTCCCAGCCCCTCGTCTTTCTCTCTGAATATCTGTGAATACCTGTTCCATCCATGACGATGAATGAAGTCCTGTATATGTCAGAGGGTCTAAGCAGCGGAGGTGTCAGCACCCTCCACTTAATGGGCGGATTATCCGTAAAGCTGGGCTCACATGCTCCGACCCTCCCGCTGTACCGCTGTCTATCCTTCCAGAGAATCTGCATATTTGTGGATATAAGTGCATATAAGCTTTAAGAATCACTCAACTTTGTACCGCTGCTAGGTAGCATTATGTTCATTTTTTTCTGATTGAAGACATTTTAATGGCTCAAGGAAATCAGCCGTGTGAACCTTTACACTTTTAAATGTGACACATGCGACTGTCATTTTCTTGCTGTCGTTTTATGTCCTTTGAAGGGTGCTTTTCTCTCCTTGGCTTTTACTAATATGCTGTGGTCCTAACCCTGCCTTCTGAAATGTGCGTCGCTTTGCATGAAAGCGCCCACTAGATAAGTGTAATAATAAAGAAGCAAATAATACACTATATCTCTTTTTTTTTTTTTCAAAAGACTTACGTATGCTGAAAGTAGACAGGCTTCCACAATCTGGTTTTAAATTTGTCACAAGAATTGAAATTTATCCATATGGTCAACCAGGAAATTGGAATTTACAGATGTTATGTTAATTAATTGGGCTTTATCAAATATATGCAAAACACATGCACGCAGATAATTACACACTCCATGGAAAAGGCACATTAAGAGGTCTCCATAGTGAGGGGGGGGTGGGGGCAGCAGCAGCTTTAATGGGAATCCGTCCTAGACAAACTGCAGGATGGGGGGACTTCTGGTACCAGCGGATTTTCAGAAGAGAAAGTGGCGTGTGATGAAGCTGTTTTAGCCAAGGACACTGGCAGGGAGGGTTAGGGTGGCGGCTGCCTCGCCTGGCCACTCAGCACGCTGGCCAGCTCCATTATCCATCACCTTCATACATGCTCATTAGCACAAGTGGATCTGATGGCTTACATGAAGTCCGCAGGTAATGGATTTGTATCCAGGGGTTTTCTAAGATTGTGGGTGATGGGGGGGAGTAGGGTACCCTGTGTCAAAGATCTCAGTGCTGTTGTTCTTTCCCTTCAAAGTTGGTCCTCTTGGGCCCGGAAGGGGGTTAATAAATCACCGCTGCCGGGGTTTGATTCTGACGCCATTTTATTGGGTCGGTGGCCTCCTCTGCCTTGGGGAACTTTGAGCACTTGACATTCAAGTCATTCAAGGTCAGGTGAGAGCAAACGAAGGTCGTAATAAAAACACCATCTAGGAGCAGGACAAGGGAGGCGCTCTGATAGCTTCACACGTCAGCCAAAGGGAGGCGCTCTGATAGCTTCACACGTCAGCCAAAGGGA